CGTTGGTATCGTATCGACAATTTTCAATGAATTGCAAGAGACAAAAGCTGCTTCACGTCAGTAAACGCACTTTTATTAAGCGCGTTACAATCGTTATAATCGTTTGACGATGTGAAGGACAAAATTTGTGCAACAAAATTTTTATTTGCCCATGTTGAAGTCATACATGCGATCAAATATCCAACATTTATCTACATAATATTTATTTGTATTTAGTATTATCATTATTAATATTATTTGTATTTAATATTATATATATAATATTTTCATTTCATGTTCAGCTAGAGGAAACAGCGCTGGCAGAAACGGTAGAAAAACAGTAAGAACTTTTCCTCGGCTCGATGGCCAGCCAGAATCCATTTTTCCCGGTAGTGTTGATCACACCTTTCTCAAACTGCAACGGGGTGATGGTTCTCGGCGCGAGCTTGATGCTACATTTGGCGAGAACGTGACAGAGCAACACTTTCATCTCTGTCAGCGCGAATCGGTTGCCAATGCACATCCTCGGCCCAAGACCGAACGGCATGTACGCGCCCGAATTGGCGATCGTTCTGTTGTTTTCGTAGAATCTATCCGGGTCGAATTTCAAAGGATTCTCATAATATTTCGGGTCCTGGTGGATTCCAGCAACGGGAATCCAGATGTTCATTCCTGCCTTGACGGTGAACGGTTTGTCACCGGGTCGCGCCGGCGGCAATTCGAAATCTTTGACGCACATTCTGTCTATGAACGAGGTGATCGGATAAAGTCGTAAGGTTTCGCTAATCACCGCGTCCAGATACTTCATGTCGTGCATCGCGTCATAGGTCAGCTCTCCGTTGTTGTTTTCCAACGTCTCGTCGATCTCCTGCTGCACCCTTTCCTGAACGTCCGGATTCTCGGCTAACAAGTGCGCCACTATGCAGGTTTGCGACGAGACGGAGTCGAAACCGCCAAAGAAGAAGGTGAACGCGTGATTCACCATCTCTTGTACGGTCATCTCGTTCCCCGGCTCTCTTTTCTTGTTATTGTCCATGAACAGCTGCAGAATGTCCGACCTACGAGTGCCGGTCTGTTGTCTGGTTTCCACCGTCTCTGCCACTTGGTCGTAGAAAAATTTGGCAATGTGACTATCCACGAACTTGAGTTGCAGCAGCTCCGCTAACCACGGAGCATTCCTGTGTACCAGAAACATCAGGGACTTCTTGAACGTCACCATCGACGTGCTTATTGTACCGTACACGTAGAACACGTTCTTCGGTTCCTTGATAGAGTCGACGGACACGTTATAGACGCAGCTGGCGATCACGTCGTTCGTGTATTTCGTCAACAGACTCTTCATCTCTGTTTCACGCTGCTCCTCCGGCAGATTCGACAAATGCTCGGCAAATCTGCTCGCGCACTCCGACATCAGTTTGAACATGGTTTTTATCTTGCTGGAGGTGAACGTCGGCGACAGCATATTTCTGTGATCCCTCCACTGGTCACCGTTCAGCATGAATAGCATTCCTCCTAGCATGGGATCTACTTTTTTGTTCACTAACGGACGATGGTCCGGAAAGTTTTCGGCGTTCTTTATGGTGATAGTCTTGATCAGATCCAAATCGCACAGCACTATTATCGGCGTGAGAAATTCGTAAAAACCGACGTATTTTGCTCTGGGATCCAGTTGATAAGCCTTGCTAATCAAATCTGCCATGGTGATCTGTCGTCTGACGAACGATCCCATGTTTCCGAACAGTGGCGTCGGCGGAACGTGCACGATTCCATGCTTTTT